CTGTTCTCAGAGTAATGGCTTTCAGTTTTTCTCCATTGAGTATGATGTTGGCTGTGTGTTTGTCATAAATGGCCTTTATTATGTTGAAAGTACTTTCCTTCTATGCCATTATTTGACGGATTTATAATATCATAAATGGATGTTAGATCTTGTCAAATGCTTTCTCTGTGTCTATTGAGATGATCATGTGATTTTTATTCCTCATTTTGTTAATGTGATGCACCACATTGATTGATTTTGCAGATGTCTAACCATCCCTGCATCACTGGTATAAATCCCACTTGGTCATGGTGTATAGTCCTTATAATGTATTGCTGTATTTGGTCTGTCAATATTTTGGGGGGGATTTTTGCATCTATATTCAGCAGCGATATTGGCCTGTAATTTCTCTTCTTTGTGTTGTCCTTGTCCAGCTTTGGGATCACAGTGATGTTGGCCTCATAGAATGAGTTAGGAATCATTCTACTTTCTTCAATTTTGTGGAATATTTTGAGAATGATAGGTATTAACTCTTCTTTGATTGTTTGGTAGAATTGTCCAGAGAAGCCATCTGGTCCTGGACTTTTGTTTTGGGGGAGGTTTTTTGTTTATGGTTTCAATCTCTTTACTTGTGATTGGTCTATTCAGGCTCTCTATTTCTTCTTGATTCAGTTTTGGGAGATTGTATGAGTCTAAGAATTTACCTATTTCTTCTTGGTTATTCAATTTGTTGAAACAGTTTTTCATAGTCTTTTCTTATAATCCTTTGTATTTCTGTGATATCTGTTGTAATTTTTCCTCTTTCATTTTTAATTTTATTTAATTGTGGCTTCTCTCTTCTTAGTGAGTCTGGTTAAGGATTTGTCAATTTTGTTTATCTTCTCAAAGAACCAGCTCTTACTTTCATTGATCCTTTCTATTGTTTTTTTTTGTCTCTATTTCATTTATTTCTGCTCTAATTTCTATTATTTCTCTCCTTCTGCTGACTTTGGGCTTTGTTCTTCTTTTTCTAATTCTGTTAGGTGTAGTTTAGATTACTTATTTGAGATGTTTCTTCTTTGTTAGGGTGAACCTGTTTTGCTATGAATTTCCCTCTCAGGACCACTTCTGCTGCATCCTGTATGAGCTGGTATGATGTATTTTCAATTTCATTTGTCTCCAGATAATTTTGACTTCTCCTTTAATTTCCTCACTGATCCATCGGTTGTTCAGTAGCATGTTGTTTAGTCTCCACATGTTTGTCACTTTCCCAGCTTTTTTCTTGTGGTTGATTTTTAGTTTCACAGCATTATGGCTGGAAAAGCATCAGCATTATCCTTGATGTGATTTCAGTCTTCTTAAATTTATTGAGGATTGATTTGTTTCCCCAAATATGGTCTATCCTTGACAATGTTCCATGTGCACTTGAGAAGAATGTGTATTCTGATGTTTTCAGATGGAGTGTTCCATATATATCTATTAAATTCATCTGGTCTTATTTTTCATTTAATTCCAATATTTCCTTGTTGATTTTCTGTCTGGATGATCTCTCCATTGTTTTATGTCAGATGTTGAGGTCCCCTACTATTATCGTGTTGCTGTTAATTTCTCCCTTTAGTTCTGTTAATAGTTACTTTATGTACTTTGGTGCTCCTGTGTTGAGTGTATAAATATTTATGTGTTGATTCTTCTTGATGGAGTATCCCTTTTATCATTATATACTGCCTCTCTTTGTCTCCTATTGTCTTTTTTATCTTGAAGTCTGCTTTGTATATATGGCAACACCTGTTTTCTTTTGTTTGCCATTTGCCTGGAGTATCATCTTCCATTCTTTCACTCTGAGCCCATGTTTGTCTTTAGAGCTGAGATGTGTTTCCTGGAGGCAGCATATTCTTGGGTTTTGTTTTTTAATCTGCCCAGCCACTCTGTGTCTTTTGATTGTTGAATTCAATCCATTTACAGTTAGAGTAATTATTGATATATGAGGACTTAATATTTCCATTTTATCTCTTGTTTTCCAGTTGTTCTCTGTTTCATTGTTCATTGTTTCTTTTCCTTGGCATTTCTGACTTTATTTCTCTTTCATGCCTTGGAGGAAGTCTCTTTGCATTCATGTAATTAGGAATTCTATTGACTTCATGTACTTGCAAGTCCAGTTACTTCCTCAGGTGTAGGAAGTTCTCAGCTATTATTTCTTTGAATGAGCTCTTTGCTCCCTTCTTCCACTCTTTTCCCTCTGGAATGCCTATAATCCTTATGTTGTTTTTCCTAATTGAGTTGGATATTTCTTGAATAATTCTTTCATTTTTTAAAAATCTTAGTTTTCTCTCCTCCTCTACCAGAAACATTTCTGTATTTCTGCCCTCTAATTCACTAATTCTATCCTCTGTAGCATCAGCTCTATTTTTTATGGTTTCTAGATTATTTTTTGTCTCCTCAATTGTGTTCTTCATATCCACTATTTCTGTTTGGTTTCTTTTTTACAGTTTCAATCTCTTTGGTGAAGTATTCCTTCTGCTCATTAATTTTATTCCTGAGCTCATTGAACTGTCTCTCTGAGTGTTCTTGTAACTCATTGAGTTCTTTGTGACAGCTATTTTGAGTTCTCCATCATTCAGATTGTAAATTTCTGTGACTTCAGGATTGGTTTCTGGAGACCTGTCATTTTCCTTCTGCTCTGAAGTGTTACTATAATTGTTCATGGTGTTTGATGAGTTGATCCCTTGCTGGTGAACTTGTGGTAGTACTAGGTCACAGATTCCACCTGCCACTGCTGGTGGGGGTGCAGGAGCTGTCTGCAGGAAGTTGTTCAGGTAGGGCTGCTCTGCATTTGTGCATGCTAGCCACAGCAGCTCTGCAGGTTGCACTCATGTGGGCAGGACCTCTTTGCTGGGCAGATGGATCATGCACCATAGGCAGGTCTTCTGTGCTTGGTGTATGGGTTGCTCTTGCCCAAGTGGGGCTGCTTCACTCAGCAGTGGACTAGCTGAGCTGCTGCACTAGGTGGGAGGGGCGCCTATGTGGGGACCGAACCACCACTCAGTGGGTTCTGTGGGCTGCTGTGCCCCATGGCCAGGGTGCCTTCTGAGTAGACAGAGCACCTTCTCATCTGTGCTGCACTTGGCAGACAGGTGCCTTCCCAGGGGCTGAGATGCTGCCAGTTGGTGTAGAGCTTTCCCATCAGCAGGGCTGTCATGGTGTGGTGGGTGCTCTCATAAGACAGGCTGCCCCCTCATTACAGTTGTGCTGGCTGCTGTGTGAGCATCTGTGGTGTGGCTCACTGCTGCCAACGAGGGGGAGGGGTGCACTCACCTAGTTCCACTGGTTCCTGGGGATCCAGTCCACCCACCTTCAGGTGCACCGCTGTGTGGATCTTTCAGACATCCTGTTGTGCTGTGCAGGGAATCCTCTTCTGCTTAATGAATGTCCATTTAGTTGTAACTTAGAGGGGAGAGACTAAGGGGAAAACTCACTCTGCTGTGATGCTGACCTCACTCTAACTAATTTCCTCTTTTTTTTATGTTTCATGACTCTTGCCTGAATTTTTGTTTTGTGGTTACTGTGAGGCTTGGGTAAAAGAGCTCATAGAAAAGATAGTCTTTTTTGTGCTGATAGCTTGTTGTCTTCATTTGCCTATGCAGGTTGTGTCATTTTCCTCTTTCCCTTCTTTGTTTTTGTTGTCACAAATGATGCCTTTTTATACTGTGAGCTCATTACCACATTGAAATGTTTATTGTTATTTTTAATCCTTCCTTTCCCTTTAACCTTTGTGATATAATTAAGTGCTTACTAACCTATTCTGACAGAGTTGAAATTGTCCAATTTTGTCTGTTACAAGCTTGCTCAAAGCTTTGTAAACCTTTGCCTTTTCATTTCAGATTGGAGAGTCCCTTTCAACATTTCTCTTAAGGCAGGTCTGGTGGTGACACTCCCTCAGCTTTTGTTTGTCTGGGGAAACATTTATTTCTCCTTAATATCTGAAAGATAACTTTGCTCGATAGAGTATTCTTGGATGAATTTTTATCTTTCAACATTTTGAATAAATCATTCCACTCTCTCCTGGCGTGTAGTGTTTCTGATGAGAAATCTGTTCATAGCCTAGTGGGGGTTCTTTTGTAGGTTATTGTTTTTTTCCCCTGGATGCATTTAATATTCTTTTTTGTCTTTGACTTTTGATAGTTTCATCATCATGTATCTTGGAGAAAGCCTTTTTGGGTTGAAATAATTGGACATTCTACTAGCGTCATGGATTTGAATATCCAGTTCCTTCCTCAGCTTTGGGAATTTCTCAGCTATTATATCTTTAAATAATCTTTTTGCTCCCTTTTTTCTATCTTCTCCTTCTAGTGGAGTCAGATAATTCTTGTAGAATTTCTTCACTTAGTTGTCTCTCTCCTCTTATACCTGCATCATTTCTAGGTTTCTCTCCTTGAGCTCACTAATTCTGTCTTCCATATGGTCTGCTCTATTTCCAATGCTTTCTCATGTATTCTTCATTTCATACATTGAGTTCTTCACCTCCAGAATTTCTGTTTGGTTCTTCTTAGAGTGTCAATCTCTTTAGTAAAGTACTCCTTCTCTTCACTGATTTTATTCCGGAATTCATTGATCTACCTCTCTGAGTTTTCTTGTAGCACTTCATGTTTCTTCGTGGCAGCTATTTTGAATTCTTTATCAGTTAGGTCACAGTCTTCCGTGACTTTATGTTTGGTTTCTGGAGATTTGTTATTTTCTTTTTGTGATGTTGTGTTACCACCACTTTTTGTGTTGCTTGCTGAGTTATTCCTCTGCTGGTGCATTTGTCATAGCAAACATTTTTCCTATTTAGGTATAGTTTTTTTGTTTTGATTCAAACCATTCAACCAGTTGGAGATTAGAGGCCTTTCTTTTGTTTTTCAGTAAGTGGTGACATAGTGCCTGTTTTTAGTTTCTCTTACCTGAGCTGTGTCTGGCTGTGTCTGAGGATTGGCATGTTACAACCTTCACCATCTGTATCCCAGCTGTTGCTGGTACTCTCACCTTCACTGTCTGTGCCTCTGCAGTCACCAGTGCTTTGCCATTGCCAGTATTGCTGTGGTTGCTGTCTTTGCCACCAGGAATAAAGGGATGGCTGATGCCTCTGTCACATCCATGGTCACCTGGGTCAGAAGCTCTGCTGCCATGTCGGTGGGTGGGGGAGGGTGGAGTGGAAGCCAGGTTTGTGAGGCACTGCCTTTGCTGTTACCCATTACCTCGTGGCCATGGGAGCCACTACAGTTGCGAGGTGAGCACTGTGGTTGTGAGCCACAGGTGGGAGCCTGGGACCATGGGGCTCCACGTCTGCTGCTGCTCTACTCCCCATGGCTGCAGGCACGGCCATGGCTGGCTGGCCAGAGTCTCACTCATGCTTCTGTTGTTGCCCACTGGGTTCTTTGGGGCCAGGGGTGGCTGGCTTAGCTGTTGCAGCAGGGGGTATAGGATCTTAGGCACCACTTCTGCTGTTCCCCTGTTCCCCCTCCTATATATGTACTTTAATCCACCCACCTTCATATGTATTGATATGTTGATCTCTCTGGTATCTTGATGTGTTGGGCAATGTGACCTTTGTTGGGTTATGGATCTTTTACTCACTACAGATTGAAGGGGAGAGACAAAGGGATCCCCTCATGCTGCCACAATGATGACATCCCTGGATTTGTTTATTGATCTTGTATACTGCAACTAACTCATTAGTTCTGGTAGAGTTCATTGAAATTTCTACATAGAAGGTTATGTTGTCTCGGAATAAAAAGTTTTACTTCTTTTTCAATCTGAATGTCTTTTATTTCTTTCCCTTGAGTTATTACACTGGCTAGAACCTCTAATGCAATGTTGGTTCTAAGTTGTATGAGCAGATATCCTTGTTTGTTTCTGATCCTTGGGAATAGCATTTAGTCTTTCACTATTAAGTGTGATGAGCAGTGACATCAGAGGCTGAACATTTCAGTGGAAACAGACTTCACAGGAAAGTCACTAAACCAACAAAAAAGAGTGTAAACAAGTTCTGGGGGATCAAAATTCAGGGTTGCTACAATATATTGTCTAAAATGTCCAATATTCAACAAAAATATATGATACATACAAAGAAACAAGAAACATATATAGCAAAAAATGCAGGCAATAGAAACTGCCTTTAGAGGGCCCAGATGTGGGATTTAGCAAACAGAATTTAAAGCAGCTAGTGTAGTCATGTTCAAGGAACTAAGGAAAACTGTGTTTAAGCAAATAAAGAAAATTATGATGATAATGACTCATAAAATGGAGACTATTAATAAAGTACAAATTATTAAAAATAAAAGGAAACAAATGGAATTTCTAGAGCTGAAAAAAAAAGTGATACAAAAAATTTCTAGAGGGCCTTCACAGTTGATTTGAGCTGGCAGGAAAGAGAATGAATGCACTTGAAGAGAGATCAATAGAGATTATCTGAAAGAAAAAGGAATGAAGAAAAATGAACAGAGCCTTGACTTCTGTGGGACACAACTAAGAACAATCAATGTTTGAAGAATAAAAGTACAAGAAGAAGCTCAGTGAACTCCAAGTTGGATATATTTAAAGTTATTCACACTTATCATAGTCAAACTGTTGAAAACTGGAGACAGTGAGAAAGTTTTGAAAGCAATGAGATAAAATTGACTCGTCATGTACAGGGTAACAGCAATAAGAATAACAGCTGACTTCTCATCAGAAACAAAGGAGGACACACGTGTGATAAAGTATTTAATGTGATAAAACAAACAAACACTCTCAAGTAAGAATCTTATATCCAGCAAAACTATCTTTCAAAAATGAAGGTGAAATAAAAGCATTCCCGGATAAACAAAAATTTAGAAAAATCATTGCTAGCAGACCTGCATTATAAGAAATACTAAAGCAATTTTTTTCAGTCTGAAAATAAGTGACACCAGACAGTAATTGAAGAATAAAGGATGAACACCAATAAAAGCAATTATATAGGTAATTATAATACAGTATAAGTTTATATTTTCTCTTTCTTCTCTTACCTTATTTAAAAGAAATTGCATAAAACAGTAATTATAAAATTGTATTGTGGCCTGTTAGCATATAAAGATGTAATAAATATAACGATAATAGCACAAAGGAAGCGGTAGGAAATGAAGTTATACTGAAGCAAGGAAACAACACCAGACAGTATATTGAATCCATAAGAAGAAATTGAGTACCAAAAATGATAAATACGTAGGTTAATATAAAACAATTCTGTAAATATATTTTTCTCCTTCTTATAGCTTCTGTGAAAGACACATTTATATAAGATTATATAAAACAATAATTATAACACTGTATTGTCGGGTTTATAACATATATAGATGTAAATATGACAATAATAGCAGAAAGAAGAGGGAAGGAATGGAGGTATATTGGATCAAGTTTCTGTATTTTACTAGAATTAAGTTAATATTAATATGAAACAGACTCTCATAAGGCATATATTATAATCCCTAGAGCAACCATGAAGAAAATAGTTTAAAAATCAATAAAAGATTTAAAGTGGTACACTAGAAAAATCCACTTAATAGAAAAGAAGCCAGTAAAGGGAGAAACAGTAGAACAAAAATATCATGAGATATATAGAAAATAAATAGAAAAATGACAGATGTAATTCTAGCCATATCAATAATGACATTAAATGTGACTAGATCAAGCCATCAGATCAAAATGAAAAGATTTTCAGATTGGATAGGAAAACAAGTTCCAGCTGCATGCTGTGTAAAGGAGACACTTTTGATTCAAATATACCAATAGGTCAGGAGTAGGATTATGCAAAAAACTATGCCATGTAAACAGTAACCACAAGAGATTAGGAAAGGCTATATTAAGGTAAAATAAACTTTAAGGCAAAAAGTGTTGCCAGAGGCAATGATAATTTATAATGATTAAAGTCACAATTAGTTAAGAAATATAACAATTATAAACACATATGAACCCAACAATAGAGCCTTGAGATATATGAAGTAAAACTAACCAAACTGAAGGGGGACAAGTAATTCAACAATAATAGTTGGAAACTTCAATACCCCACTCCCAGTAATGGATAGGACAACTAGACAGAAAATCAAGAAAAGTGTAGAAGATTTGAATAGCACTATCTGCAAACTACACCTGACTGACACCTATTGAACACTCCACCTGACAACACCCAGAATGCACATTCTTCTTAAGCGTCCATGGAACAATCTTCAGGATAGACCATATACCATTCCATAAAACAATTCTCATAAATGTAAATAAATAAATAAATGACAAATAAATAAAATAAATGTATAGAATTTAACAAAAAGAAATTTGGGAATCCATATATATGTGAAAATTAAGTAATACATTTTCAAGTAACCAATAGGTAGGGGAAGAAATCACAAAAGAAATTAGAAATTAAGAAATTGAGCTGAATTAAATAAAAAGCACAATGAACCAAATTTATGGAATGCACATAAAACAGTGTTTAGAGGGAAATTTATAGCTAGAACACATATATTAGAAAAGAAGAAAGATCTCAAATCAATAATCTAAACTTCCACCTTAAGAAACTGGAAAAACAATAAGAAACTAAATCCAGAGTAAGCAGAAAGAAGGAAATCATAAGAATTATAGTGGAAATAAATTAAATAGGAAACAGAAGAAAATAGAGAAAATTAAGGAAACCAAAAGTTAGTTCTTTGAAACCATTTTTAAAATTTGACAAAGCTTTAGTAAGATTAACCAAGAAAAATGAGAGAAGACACAAACTGGTAAAATCAGGAATTAAAGAGAGGCTATCACAGCCAACTTTACAGAAACCAAAAGAATTTTAAGAGAGTACTATAAAAAACTTTATGTCAACAAATGAGACTCCTAAAATGAAATGGAAAATTCCTAGAAAGATACAAGTTACCAAAACTGAACCCAGAAGAAACAGAAGATCTAAATACATCTGTAAGAAGTAAATATTATAACAATTAAAACTCTTCTCAAAGTAGTGAGTGTGGATGTAGTTATTAAGGGTAACATTAGAGGGCCTTGTGGTGATGGTAAAGTTCTGAATCTTGATCGTGTTAATGGTTATGTAAATCTACACGTGATAAAATTGCATAGAGCCACACACACATGCATATGCACACACGCACACATACACACATACACACATAAATGAGTGCATGTAAAATGATGAAATCTGAATATATTCTGTGCATCGTACCAATGTCAATCTCCTGGTTTTGATATTGTGCTATAACTATGCAAGATATTACCATTTGTGGAAACTGGTACACAGGATCTCCCTGTACATTTTTTGCAACTTCTTGTGAATGTATAATTATTTGAAAATAAACAGTTTAAAAAATATTCCCACAATAAAAAAGCCCAGGCCTAGATGGGTACACTTGTGAATTCTTTCAATAATTTAAAATAAGAAATAATACCAACCCTTCACAAATTCTTCCAGAAAATAGAGGAGGAAGGAATACTTCCAAACTCATTCTATCAGGCCAAGATTATCCTGGTAGTAAACTTAGATAAAGACGTCACAAGAAAAGAAAACTATAGGCCAATATCTTTCATGAATATAAACACACACACAAAGAAAAATCTGAGCAAAATAAAAGCAAACTGAATCTGGAAAATATCAAAATGATTATACGCCATGACCAAGTAGGATTTATCCCAGGAATGCAAGGTTGGTTTAATATCTGAAAATCAACTAATGTAATTCATGATATTAACAGAATAAGGGACAAATACCATATGATCATCTCAATAGATGCATAAAAATGTTTCACAAAATCCACCATCCACTCATAATAAAGTTCTTCATAACCTAGGAGTAGAAGTAAATTTCCTGAAGCTGATAAAGAGCATTTGGAAAATATCCACATCTGACACCAGACTTAATGGTCTTAGTGGTGAAGACTAGATGCCTTCTACCTAAAATCAGGAAAAAGAGAAAGAAATCCACTCTCATCATTGTATTCAACATTGCACTCGAGCCTCTATCCAGTGGAATTAGGGAAGGAAAAAAGCCCATCCATATTAAAAATAAGTAAAACTGTCTTTATTCACATAGAAAAAGTTCCTATATATAGAAAATTCTAAGGAATACACAGACAAGGAGACACACACACAATGTGCTTCTACAACTAAAAAAGGAGTTC